GTTGGGGTTTTGTCTCAATGGGGGTCGACATGGGTAGTTAGAGTCCTTGGTTATCTAAAGCAGAAATATGAGCTCACCTCGCAGAATACGATTTTATTCACTAAAAGCTCCTAAGGTCTTTAATCTCAACTGGTAAGGGAGGTGGTGAAACCCCTTTACGTTTTGTCGCCCACCGTTGTGGCTTCTCAAGCGCAGTGGCCAGGGGTATCACACCTAAATGGCGTATTCAGTATGTGGCCTCACGTAAGTGTTGATCATTTGCAAGAAGCAGGTAAGATCAAATCGGCCAAACGCCTTCCGAGGAAGGCCCAATCGTTGGCTGGCTTTCTTCACTGCCCTTTTAGCCTATTTGAACAGCCGAGATAGTCCTACACGAGAACCCCAAGATCGCTTTCATGAGAAGCGTATTGAAGGACGTGTTCTTTCAGTCGATATTGGTAGGTGCTCAGGTAGCGTATGCACATTATGTTGCCTTTGGCAGGGTTAAACGCCAGCATGTACTGGGTCGACCACACTTAACCTTTGTCGATACACCTTGCAGTGTTATGCCGTTGTCTACTCGTTTGATTGCTTCCCAAATCGTGCGGGCGCTCGCAATGACTAAAACGTACCACGTCAAAACATTCACAAGGTCGTTGTTGAACACGATGAATAAGCTTGGTCCGAGTACCGAGCCTTGAGAGACCCCACAGTGAACTTCTATCGAGTAGGATAGGGTGCTACGAAGCCGCACATGCAAGCATAATTGTAGTTTTAATGAATGAAGCAAATCTAGCATAGTATCACCGATACTTTGGCTCCGAAGTTTGTAAATAAGAACATGGTGATCAAGAAGATGAAGTGCCTTCAAGATATTAAGGTACTGTATTGTATTTAACACTTGTCCAATAAATAGTTGGCAGAGTGACACAACACATGAGTAACAATAACAAAAATAGGCTAATGCGTATGAGGAATGGAAGCAAAGTTCCATGTGTTGTGTGGGCATTGAGCTTCCAGGTTGCCCAGGTCGACGGTTGACTTAAGGGACCCCACCCCGAGCCTTTGGGCTAAAGACCTGACCCGCAAGCTAGCGGGGTGATTCACGAAGACCGTTGACAGCCAAGTGGCTCATTCGCCTTTGTGTTCGGAAGCAGTCCACAGAGAACCGGTAGCCAGCGAGGTTGTTCATCCGCCCACGGTTAGATACTCACCCCCAGTTACAGGAGTGAGTGGTTAGTGACCCTATAGCCGGTCATATTGGCTTTGACACAGCGCCGTACGAGCACTTGTGGTATTTAATGGAGAACCAGGTGACCAGCCCAGAACTTTCCACGATCTGCGACGCTGTCGCTGATTGTTCGCGACTGCTTATTCATTTCGCCTGCAAAGCGAACGAGACTTATTTGCAGTTACCTACACAAGGAAGGCATTCCCCGATCCGCGACCTGGGGACGCGTCCGATAGCGTACAGCTCCGCCACGATATCGTGGTAATCGGCGTCGACTCCTACCCCAGGATCGAGGGATTAATTCCAGCTAGCGCTGGCCAATAAAAATTCGTGGTACATGGGCGCATTTGGCGGAATCCATGCTGATCTTGCACGAAGACATGGCAACCTTTAGAAGTCGTACAGAGTTTGTCTACATAAGAAGTTTTATGATTGCTGGTGGGGCTGTTGCAAAAAAGATTTCGGTGCCTCTCTCAAGAGCTCATCGCGCCTTCTCCAAGCTGAGACATTTTTAGCCCGGCCATGACATCCGTCTCTCCATCAAAGGAAGAGTGTATAATGTTACTGTCCGCGCTGTATTGTTGTACGGTTGCGAGACTTGGCCTGCTCGTACCGACGGTCTGTGTCGACTGTTTCTCTTCAAAAGCGGTTGCGTGCAGTCCATCGCCTGTGTGTATTGGCTGAAGCACGTGACCCACGCGGAAGTCAGGCAACGTGTCTTAGGTGGAGACAGCCACTTCCTCGAGACGCTTGTCTTGTCGCGCCAACTACGATGGCTTGGACACGTGCTGCGCATGTCCGCTCAGCGTCTTCCGCGTCGTGTCTTGTAAGCGGCCGCTGGACAGGGTTTGAGGAGGCGGTGTGGCTGACAGACTACAACTTAGAGAAGCATGAGGAAAGGCTGAGAAAACAGCTGGCCACGGTTGATTCCTCCCGACTCCCTGGATGGGATCCCAAGGATACTGATTGCAGTAAGTTGGAAACAATTGGAAGTTATGGTTTGGAACCGAACTCAGTGGCAGGTGTGTATCACTGCTTGTAGCGGTGATTCCTCTTCCCACCCCCAGCAAAATAACATCAAAACTCAAAAACGGTGAGTGGAAAAATGAACAAATAGTTGTTTGTATTTTTATGCTTTTACTTTAATCCTGTTTCCTTTTCCGTAATGGTCACGATGGCACAATAATTGTACACAGCTTGCGATCAAGCTGTATTTGGGGAATCAAGTGCACACAAGGCAGTGGCTTGACCGTAGTCTGTTCCACATTGAGTGCATGGAACCACCCTTCGAGCCCCACGCGGCCAAAAGGACTGTGCACTCTGTCCCCTTCAGAAAAGACCAACTGTCTCCTAGAGCCAATATGGACGAGGTAGTGGGCAATAGGCAGGCAGACATCTTGTCGATACGCACATCAAGCGCAGCCATACTGGGGATGTCAAACAACAGCCAATCACTTTAAATAGCATTACCAAATTGAGTATATCTGTTAAACCATACGGCTATGCCGACATAACTCATCGCTAAATTACCATCTTATGTAAGTTGGTTAGGAATGAACCCCCGATAAGTACAAAAGGTCCAGAAGTTACTTAAAACTTCTATGAACGCAAGCAAGTTAACGAAGAAATGCGAAATTAACGTAGGCAACGTGTGCGAATTAATAGAAGCGTATTCAGGTAGGCAGAAGAAACCAATTAAAGTGGAATAAAAATTTATCCGGCTTAAAAAGACCTAGTTTAAGTGAGCGATGCTTTAGTCCGGCTGCGGTGAAGAAGCATCATGAATGGAATATCAGCCTCAGCACGGGGCATGAGCATGTGAAATAACTTAGCTGCCAAAAGGTTCGAAATATTTTTAAGACGTCAGAAAAGCTATTTTAGGAACATGTCACAAACGCGAAACCGTTATCAAAGTTAAGTACATTTAATTGAGCAATGTGTACAGGTTAATAGAAAATAGTTCATGTAGACATTAATGAGGCAATATAGCAAACCAACCACCTGAAAAAAGTGACCCAGCATGCAAGCAAGCGGTTAGTAAATCGAATGCAGCGTACCCACAAACGGTGCGCCGGTTCTGCCTACGTTCTCTGCAGAACCCGTCGCCATTCCGCTGTTGGCCTCGCTCATGGCTCACTAGGCCTGTCTGACTCAGGCACTCGCGACCGTGCACCATGCGCTCGATGTCGATGGAGTAAAACCCAACGGCGCCTGCCGCTTCTGCACTTGGTGCTTCTTCTCTGCATGCAAGAGGTCCTTCTCCTGAACCTTGGCAACTGTCTTCGTGATCAGGTTGCACCATGCACGCCGATATATATATATATATATATATATATATATATATATATATATATATATATATATATATATCTGATACGACACTTTGCTAAATATCCCATACATGAAACTGCAACGACAGATTCCATGACCTTAGCAAGCACGGAGAGAAAAGTACTCGGGCGGGAGTTTGGGGCACTGCATTATTGCCTCCATAGTAGGTTAGAGTGATTATTCCACGCTATCACGTTGTTGGATCCTGCACCTCATAGGGACAACGCTAGACAAACTGAGCTAATGGTTCATCCAAGCTCGTGGAAGCTACCATAAATGACTTAGGACGTATGTTATCCGGACCAGATAAACTATATTCGCGTAATAACATCAGTCGCTTAAGCGCATCCGCGACCGTAAAAGTGTGGATAAATCCCAGTGGTGCCGTGCCCTCTGTCGTAATAGTATGTGATGCCGTTGCTTACTGGTAAGTTCAAGAGATATTTTGTCAGAGAGTATTCACTGTTTCATGAGCACTTCGCGCTTGCCCACAGACGGTGCTTAGAGGAGGGATGCCACGCAAAGTACACTTTGCGAAGTCTGTTTACACTCCCATAAAGCCGCTTAGGATTGCAACGGAAGTTTACGAACACTTGTTGCTGTTTCAATTTAGCTTTGTGGTTAAGTTTAACACAGTGGTTCCACACAGTTATGTAAGCATGCCAGCTTCCGGTGTTTGCATAAGCTGTATGCGACAGCGCGTTCGCGTTGTCAGTTAGCACGCCACTTTTAGACTTCGTTTTCCCGTTGGACAAACTAGTACGTGCCGCTTCATGCAGAATATATTAACACGGCGTGAAAGTCTTGGCGGAAGTAACGTCTCGCAGCGCTCGAGACGGCACAGCGAATACCCACCAAACATGTTGCAGGGTTAGTCCAATTTCCTTAAAATTTTATAGTGATGGCCTAAACATTGTGCAGCAATCAGTAGCTGCGCCTACAAGAAGTCTCAGTAATAACCTACCAACTTGTATGTAACCCAAACCACCCGATGCAACTTAGTTAATACAAGAAACCGTAATGTCGCTAATTCAAGCTGTTTGCGCAATACAGCCGGTTAGAAGGTTGCCGGAACTTTTAGCCTCTTAGTGTGTGTTACCTATAGAATGTCCCCCACACTTACAATAGTGTTGCCACCACATCATCCTAAAGTCGCCTTTACCCACTGACATTACAAAATATATCCCGTACACATCGGGAGGCTAAACTGAATGTGACAATCGGTGCACGGACCAACAGTTCCCTACGCAGTCGAGGTAGGCTCTTTTACGCGTGCGCAAAACAGGAACACTATGGCGAGTCCACTAAGGTGTTGCTCCTTTTATCACAATAGTCTTTTTCCATTCAGTGGTCTTTATCCCGGGTATCCCATGGTGGTTGTTAAGCACAGGTTGTTTTATCCGCAACACACCATTATTCGCTAGTTATATTTTTTAGAATATAGACGGTTATATAGTTCCTGGATGGTACGCCATGTTTTATTTCAAAATGCGCGGTATGTTTCTAAAATCAACAATATTTTGTTGGGAGATTGTGTTGTGTGCAAGTGAGCTATGTCCAGGTACGATTGATAAGAAGTATGTAGCAAAATAACTTGATCACAATTATCAAAAACATCTTGCTCATTGATGCAAGCATAAAAGTGCAAGTTGTAAGTCAAACAGCGGTTTTGATGCACACAATCTTGCGAGGCTACAGGCCTCACTCATGTTTGAGTTGTCCCCACCCTGGATGCCTTTATCTTGCGCCTCAGTAAAGTGTCCAGTTGCAGCATTGGAACTTCGGTGCACATAGAAATAGCGATGGCCATTAGATACGAGATTGTCCAAGTGGCAGCAAAACTGGAAAACTAAAGTGAAGAGTAACATTGAACACAATTGGACATGAGTACTTTGAAATAAGAGCATCACAGTTCTAAAACTTCGATAGACAACGCAGTTTGCTGGTGCTTGGACTATCGGTAGCTACTAGTCGCAAGTTCACGAGTAACTGATTGTGAAGTTTGTGTTGGCAGCTTTAATTTACACCCTACCAGCGAGGATTACTGTTGGAATTTCAGATGAGAGCGGCTGTTTTCTTATATATAAGTTCTTCAGGTAAACACTATGTCACTCCTCCGCAACTTACATAGGAGTGTATATAATAATACTTATATTTCTCTTGATGAGAGAAACCGTGCCTATATCGGCACAGAACAATTTGTACAGAAGAATCCATGCGCTTGCATAGGTGACATACATAGGTGGCGTATTGGGATATGCGTTTTATGTATTAATATTCTGGCGGATGGTTGAAGCCAAAGACTAATTATGAAAACATTGGTGTTTATATGTTTTTGGGCCCCACTTTACCCATGTGAATCAACAGCTTAGGGTAGTTAGATCAAGGTAATTGGCGAGTCTGCTACTAAATGCCACATTATTACATGACCTGAGTGTCATTGGTAGTTTATTCCACAGCTAGCTATATCTGCTCAGGAGGAAATTAAAGCGGACGTTCGTACTAGCCTTCAGTATATTCCGTGTAAATCTATTTTTGCGAAGCGCTCGAGATAAGCAACGTTCTAAATTGAGTGTAGGCAGGTTTGTATAGGTAATTTTGTGTAGCCCATTGAAAAGCAGCCACAAGTTGTGCTTCCATGGCCGAAACCAAAGTGGTTCGAAATGAAGTTCACTGCAACGTACATTGCAGAGTGTTTACCAATCCGATGTTTAGTAAATGACCATTGCAGGCGCTCCACAGCAATTCTGTCAATATTTCTCATATTTCCGTATGTTATGCTGTAGTATTCGAGAAGGTGGCGAGTGAGTAGCTTGAAAAGCTCAACTCTAGCACGGATTGTGTATATTTCGTTTTGATATATTGAACATAGACTGTCTGGCACGTGCTACTTGGCATTAATATTGTTCGGAAAAATTGTAGGTAGACTAGTACCTAGTGCCAAGATCATACGTGGACAGCTGTGTAGGGATGCGTTCCTTGTTTAGGGTGACAGATCGTTCGAGCATGCTGCAGTCGAAAGACATGATGCTTGATTTCTTAGCCGAGATTTTCATCACCCATGTGCAGTACCATGACTCAAGGTAATGTAAATCATCTTGAATGAGCAGTAATGTCCCGTGAAGCTCGTCACACCGAAGCTTATAGACTAGTTTGATATCATCAGCGAAGGAAAATGATGTACCATATTTTATAGAGATGGTGATATTATTGATGTAAAGCAAAATGAGTATGGGGCCGAGCATGCTCTCTTGAATGACTCTACTGGTGATTGAGCGTGGAGAAGAGCGATAATCAGCTAAAGGGACTACCTGATGACGATCACTTAGATATGACGAGAGCTAACCTAGTAATGGGTCCTGGATCCCAAAGTTCTCCAACTTTTGTAACACTCGCTTGTGCGGTGCTCGGTCGAACGCTTAGTGTATGTCAAGAAACAAGATTACTAATGCATAGCCGGAATCGATTGATTCTGAAATGTGGTTAAGGTAATGCAGTTGACAGGTAGTGCACTACCGCTTATTGCGAAAACTATGCTAAGAATTATTGCTCAAGCCAGTAGACTCAACAATGTTCGTCATCTCCATTCTGACCAGCTTTTCAAATATCCGAGCGATTATCAGAGTGTGGTGGATTGTTCGGTAGTTACCAGTCGTTTGTTTGGGACCTCCTTTATGCCGAGACATAATAAATGAGGTCATCCATTGGTTTGGAAAGTGGCTAGATTCCAGAGATAGAGTGAATATGCTCATCAGGAGTAATGGCATGTCAGGCCCTCCTAGTTAATAGTGGTTGGTGAAATGCCATCAGATCCCAGCTTGGAACATGGCCTGATTGATTTGATAACTTGATGGATACCGTTGAGCGAGATATGGACTCTGCTTAAGAGAGTTGTTCCTGTGAGGTCTGTACACACAGGCGCCGGGTCAGTTTCGCGACTCATTGTAATGGCGAAATGTCACTGAATGCTTCACAGATTTCAGCTGCGTCACGGAGTAAGTGACCCACAACGTCAACAATTCCGGTAATCAGAGGGGAGCGGTCAATGATTCTACGATGCAGTATTTTGACAAGCTCCCTAGCTTTGCAGCTTATCCGTAGGATTGAGCGTTCTTCATTTTTCCTTCGTGTTAACTGCGTTTGTTTGAGTCTGGTGGCACATTTGTACGTTTGTACCACAATCGAAATGTCGTAGGTCTTCTGTTTCTTGCAGCTAACTACCTGGTTTTCTTGCTGATTAAGTGCTCGACGGAATCTTTGGAGACATGAGGGGTATGAATACATTGTGACAAAAGGAGGGCTATAGGGTGATAGATTTGTTTCTAGAACTGCCCCACAGCGGTGTACACACCGGTAGAGAGGAAAATTACATCCCTGTCAGAGAAACGAACGAACTGCTGAAAGCATTCCCAGTTTATCTTATGGGTTGCAACTGGCGGTTTAAAGGCGAGTTTAGTGACCATTTTAATCTGGAAGCTGTCGGATCATGTTATGGTCGCAGCCGGCGAGATTGTTTAAGATCTGTGGATTGGGTATCCCCAATGTGAATAGTAAGTCCAGTACATTGGTGGACCTGGTTGGAGTGGTAATCCATTGTGTCAAGCCCCCAGCTCTGATGGAAGAAAAAAAGAGGGGTGCAAGGTAGACGTTGAGTGGGATGACCGGCGTATTTTCTGTAGGTTGAAATCGCCGGCAATAATCTTATGGCTGCATGACAACTCTGATGCGAAATCAAATGCAGAAGTGATGTTGGTGATACTCACCTTAGAGCATTCGGTGGGTTGTAGATACCTTCTAGCAGTGTGTGACATAAGACACCCACAACTGACAGCCAAATCGATTCAGGGATATTTTCCAATTGTGAGTGGTCTATAGGTTTAGCTGTAAATGTTTTGCGTGCGTATATAAAATACCCTCCATCTTTTCTGTCGTATCTATCTTTTCGAACTAGGTGGTAGTTTGTAATCATCAGAGTAGAGTCAAGTATATCTGAAGAACACCATGTTTCATTGACGAGGATCGCTTGTGGGTCATCGAACTGTGCAATCATGTTTATAAAATGAAGGTTGTTGATTCTGGATCTGTGATTAATCAGAATCACTGAAAATGTACTAAGTTTTGGGGAATGATCGCCGTCCGTTTTGTGATCGTCTGAAGCTTCGCGTTCGAGCATGGTGCACATGGTAGGTAAATGCGAGTATGGAGGGTCCGAGTTAGGCTTTAGAACATTTGTTGGTAAGTGTAGCGTGTAATGTGTGGATATCGAGACAGTTGGGGGCACGAAGGGAACCAAGGCATCATGCTTTGGTTGCTGTTGGTTTGCTAATGGACTAGCTTTGTCATCTGGACAAATTGGAAGAAGAGTGGGATCAAGATGTTGACCTCCGCCGAATGTATCTGAGATGGGAATGAGTGCGAATCCATTCCCGTCGCCGCTAAAATATGGTTGTTGGAAGAAGCCGCTTGAGAGGTTGAGGGAATATGGAAAGAATCAGGTGGTAAGACAGTCCGATGTCCTTCCATTATCTGTTCACTTCCAGTGATTGCTGTGGTGTAGGATGATAATTAGGCGTAGCCAAGAGACAGTTGTTATTGGTCTTATTCAACGTGGAAGGTTGTTTGCCCTGGTGGTTGTAGGAGGTTGGTCGATAGGGAATTTTGGGTGCCAACGAGTATTTAGTATCCATCCGCCATTTAAAGACATAAGTCCCTGGATTGCATTGGGCGACAATGGACTATGAATTACATCAGGTTGTCTATTCTTGGACGTGCCTTGTTGGTTTGAACTGGGTTGTGATATATTCAACGAGTTGTCATTACTCCACTGTTCCAAGCACTTAGACTTTCCTTTAGTCTTTATGCGTGAGGAGTTCGATATAATGGGAGTGTTGTTGTCCGGAATAGCAGAACGCGCTTTATCCGTTCCTTGTGTCGAAGGTGTTTCAGTGGAGCAAGGAAGGACGGCTTTGGAGCTAGTTGACAACGTTGCTAGCTTATCGATGTCCGAATCAATGTATCTAGTAGCCACCTTGGATGCACTCGTCTTTTGGACGTTTGGCTGAGATTACTTGAAGAGCCTAGTTATTTTTTCCGGTGTTCGCAGCACAGCGCCAAATTCGTACCATTGTAGGGTGTCCCACCTGGTTTATTCAAAATGCCTTTACATTGGGTGCACTGTCCTAGGATGGGTCCGCAATGGAGGAAGCGCTGTGTGACTTCCTCACTCAAAAATTTGAAAATATTCGGACAACGTTTCCGCGTCTTCTATTTCAATTCTTGGCACTTGCAGTCAAAGTGAAACATGTTACGAGCTTTCAGTATCGTTAATTTTACTGTATCCAGACACAGCACATCCGGAACATTAAAAACAATCACATATTCGTTCGTGCACCTCAGGGGCAACTGAGGCAATTAACTGCCTTGCTTTTCCCAATGGGTTATTGATGTAGTCAAGCGAAATCAGGTGATATTTGAGGGGTTCAGAGAGTGTCAGCGTTTTTCTCATTTAACTAAGTTGTGATTCAAAAGAAAGCAATTTATCCCTTAGTTCTGCGATGAGTCTAGTTTTAGCCGAGGAGCATGTTCGCTTTCCTTTTGGGGCCTGCGAGATGATGACGTCCTCTCACTAGACGCTATATCCATAGCACTTTGAAACTAGGAGTTAATTATATTTGTATATTACTCGTAAGTAGCTGGATTTTAGTTGTAATTGCATTGAGGTTTTCATCCTGTAGTTCATTGGAACATTGTATTAAATGGAAATAAAAGCTCGAGCCTTACATAACCCATAGGGTAAAAAGAGTTCGGATCGTGTCTACTGAAAGGCCAAGCAACCTTATAGGGATTGGACGCGCGTGTTAGCCGTATGTTCATCGGGCTTATGCGGCATTTAAACAGAATTCACGCCAACTTAAAGTGTGACATCCCACCGCTGTCAGTGACAGTGGAAGACAGGTGGTGCTATATCCCAGCTAGTTTGCAAATTATGTAGCCCAGCCAACGTCCCCCATGGCTTAGTGGCTTAAGCTGCAGGCTAGTTGGCATCTGCCTCGAGCGGTCATGGGTTCGAGCCTCCTTAAATGACCGAGGGAATACGCACCACTGACGAGCCCCAATAAGGCGGAACGCGAGTTGTGCTTTTCCGGACTAGGCTATGCTATGTAGCTTGTGAACTACTGGGATGAAAACCACAACAAACGTAGTTATGAAAATGTGAGGTATCCCCGTACGGCACCAATGAACTGGTTGCTACATGTGTGACGGATATTTACTGCGTGGCTTTTGGATCGAAACTGACTTCGATATGGCGATTCAAGACGACTTGGCCAATTCTGACTAAGCAGAAATACTATTGTATTTACAACCAGCAAGCTAGACTCATGGGAAGGGAGTTCAAGCAAATTTATTAAATTACTTTTCTCCAAAATCTAAACTGTTTTATTCATCCGCTCACTGGATTTGCAATTCATGCACTACAAACATGCCAAGGTCATAAAGCCATGGTTTCCTCAAAATCGAGCTTATTACTGTCATTGGTGCTCCTTAGTATTGGTCACAGTAAATGTTCTCATCGGCTACAGCCCTACTGGTGCTGTCATGGCTTATCCTACATCAGTTAGCTTGCCTGTTCCGGACTTGTCCTGACTCAGTGATAACATATACATGAGAGGTCAGGACATAAAAGTGATGGAACAGCACGACAGCTTGAAATGCCATAGAAGTTGTCTCCACTTGTGTTTGTCGTCTCTGAAACACCCTCGCCGAGTTTACCCCGTTGGGAGCGGTGATAGCAATAATTGCAATGAAACAGAGACGTCAAATAAGCCAACCACATTTTGCCACATCGTATGCTCCAATCTGTAGGATAAAAGCCGGTTTCAATAATCAGCTTGGGTTAATACGCCAAAACAAAGGGGAAGTAGCTTCTGAGCCACGCAGATATCTAAGCAGAAAGCAATGCAGCAAGAGTCTCATCTGTTTCTTATTGCTACGTTCACAAAAGCTCTAGACAGACTGCGCAACTAAACTCGTCCAGAACAATTCTCCTCAACCGGAATAGATAATTGCCCGTTATTTAGCGTAACCCGTATACGACATAGCGGAAGCTCATTACGAATACTGTCAATGGTCAGTTATTTCCGTGTAATTAGACCTTAAATTTTGTACAGTCTTAGTTTCTTAACATTCATCCAGCGCTGACGATTTTCATACCTTCAGGTGATGCACTTCGGTAGTAGCGCAACACATGAGATCACCTAGGTAGCGCCCAAAAAGATGACTTCTATGTTGTGTACTATTTCATTATTGTCCAATTGTACATTATTCTTCCTTGTTTTAATCTTCTTTACGACCGGCTAGTTACTTTACCGTCTTGTAAGTTCCCGCGCTAACGTGTTGCTCTTGTCTTACTCCATCGCTCCGCGTCTTCTTGTAGTCATCGAACACAGTCCACTATATCCGACTTTAATTGCCTTCTGATATCCGCGCTCAAATTTGCGCACCGTCTAGGACTAGTATTTACTAATCTTACACCTGGCAAAATATCATCGTTGGCCAATTTGCGGGTCCGGTGTATGTGTTTTCGTTGGAAATTCCTTAAAGTACCTAAGTTTCCGCAAGTTCAAGTCTATTGCTATGCAATAAACCGTTTGCTCAGTTGGGAAGGTAGTTACCTAGCATGTAAACGGCTACCTTTATTCTAAGGAGTGAATATCCTCCGTAAATAACTCAAGTCTGTGTCCCACGACTTATGACTTTGAGTTTCCTGCTCCCACGAACCATGTTTTCGTTGCGTGTGGATCTCTGATTCCAGTAGCGTCAGCAGCCGGATGCTAAGAATTTAGACAGATTATGTTCAACCATCATGAATGAGCTTGTGTTCAAATAGAAAGTTTCTAGTGAATCCGTAGAAGAACAGAGATGATCTGTCCGAGTTTACTAAGTTACTTAACTTTTTACATTTGGATATACTTTAATGCATTTCTCTTCGTATATCTCGTGTAAAAGTTGCAATGGTGCTATAGGCCAATGGTATTTAAGAGATAACAAGTTCCTGTGATGTTATTTCGTGAGTTTTCCATTTTTGACTGGTAAATCTAATGTCATCTATTTCCAAGTTAATGTAAAACAGGTAGACTTAACTGAACACTGTTAGTGGTACTGTGCAGATCGATCTTTGTCTACCGAGTGAATGTGTCCGAACCGCTGTAAGAATCACTCCTGCTTTGGACAATAAGTACTCGGTGCGACAAAGAACAAATGGCCTTAGAAGTGGCTAGTAAACATCAGGACCGGGTATGAAATTGTGCCACATGAAAAACACAGAAAAGAGAGCCAAACTCACGAGGTACGAATAATCGTAACTTTGTGTTCGTTTGGACGACAGCTGGAAGTACATAATGACCACTGGGTGAATGAGGTATGCACAATAGGTCAGTTTGGCTGGAATAACGAAACCGCGGAAGCACAATATCGCGTTGACAACAGCTGAAATGAATACAGAGATTGAACATAGGAAGTGGTATTAAAATGTAGTCCCGAGTCTTGTATCAACCCTCAATGTTGGTAAGCTGTCTGGTGTCAATAGTTGACAGCCACATTGAGTTCAAATGTGGCCCTGTAGTCATAAGTGATGTCAGTGCAATGGATTAAGAAACTACAATCTTTCCAGTCTCACGGCTACCGTGTTAGGGACCAGTCGCGTATTGCTGTGATAATCTCTCTGGTCACAAGGCAATTCGAGCATATGAGCGTCACATTGTTGAAGTTGGGTGGGTAGATCCATGCCATGCACCAGGTATCCGAACTAGAATTCACTAAAATTTGGGCAAGTAACCCTATGTTGGTAGGATGCAACAAGCCCAATAGCTGTGTAAATATAAGGGAGATGCGTGTACTGAAATTGCGTGGTTAGCAGTCTCGATTCAGCCAGTCTGACGTAGGAGGATACAAGGGTCAGTTTGGACAGCGAGGATTAGTCTCATCGCCGCCAGCAAGACGGTGATTGGCAAATCGATGGAAGGTGAAAGACCTGCAATAGTACCAGTCTGACTGGACCGCTTAAGATGACACTACTATCTATGTCCCTAAGTGTGTTGATTCATGACTCAGTTAACAAGTTTATCTCTCTCCATGGATAAAACTGTTAAACCAACCGTGTAGCAAATAAGAAAGCCTGCCAAGGCTTTTGCGTCGGAAGCAAATTACAACCAAATAAATAACTCAGCCAATTATATGATTCAATTTGAAGCAGCTATCGTCTTAATGGATTGTGATGCGCGATCGCAGCGTGGACCGCGATTCGCATTGAAGTGAATCCTTGGCAAATTCGATCACTTGGACCGTAACTGACGAAGCAGCTGTATATTTGGTGTTGCCCGTTCCAAAATAGCACACCGCAACAGGTTTTGTCCTTCTTTGCTCCAACAAGGTAGCAATGGCCAGTACTCTAACTCGAGGCCATTAGGATGTCAGCCAATGCATTTACTGTCTAAGCCACCGAGTCGCGACAGGAAACGCGTCATAACGGATAAACACTAATTGGAGGGGTCTAGTTAAAGCTTTCGGCTGGTTAACACCCAATATTCCTCTACTTCAGCGATTACGGTTCAACGAAACGATTTGATCCATGCTTCCTTTAACATGAATCTTTGTCTACAATGAGGCTGCTCGTTGCAATCTATTCGCGTGCTTCGAAATGCCCCTCCAGTTGGCCATTAACCGTTGTAAAATATGTTGACGCCGCGACTCCATTGCTCGACGTAGGTGTTTGAAAGGAGATCCCCCATCTGCTGATTATTTGTAAATCCCTCTGCAACCATGACTAGTCATCGTTTTCAGGGGGATACCAAGAGCTCGATCAAGGCTTTCATTTGCAAATTTATGGAACGTTTGCTAAGCTGTGCCGAAATTCAAAACGAAATACTTCGCGCCACTTGCTGTAAGCATCGAGCACTTTGAGAAAGTGCTGGCCGTTGATTGGGTCTGAAAAGTCGACATGAACACGGATCCAAGGTTTCGTTGGTTTAGGCCACGAGTGAAGTTCCGTCTTCGGTGCTGCGCTTGAAGAAGTCTCACAGTTGCTGCAAGTTCTAGCTAACTGCGCCAGCTGTCTATCCATTAAAAGCCAATACACATGACTTGGGGCAAGTGTTTTCATTCGGTTGAGCCCCAGATGCCCTGCTTGGAACTGCCGCAACAAACTTGTAATATCTGCGGGATGACTACCCTCTCCGAGAACATGACACAATCGTTCACAATGGAGAGCGAATGCCTTCGCTGATAGAACTGCTGCATTTCGGAAGAGGATCACGAGCGTGGCCAGCCTGCTCTGCGAAAGTATGCAACGTTCTTTAGGATTGGATGTCGAAAGGTTTTGACCCGCACAGCCTTTGCCATAACTAGCCAACCGTTTACTGCCTCGCTCACCAGGAATTTGACATCGGATTCGATCTCAGCTGAGGCTATGATAGTATGCTCGTGTTCTTGCTGTTTGGAATCAATGAGGCGTGACAACACATTTGCTTGGCCCATCGAAACCGTTGACTGATAAAGATTTCAAAATCATAGCCCAGCAAGATGAGTGCCCATCGTTGGAGTCCATTGGCTGTATAAGCAGGAATTCCATTCTTCGGACCGAAAATGGCGAACAGCGGTTAGTGATCCATCAAGAGCTGGAATTGGCGACCATGCAGCATCTAAAGAAATTTCTTCACAACAAACAATATGGCCAATGCCTCCTTCTCAGTTTGACTGTAATTCCTTTCTGCTTTCGTCAGCGTACTGGCGGTATGCGCGGTCGCCTTCTGAGATCCATCTGGGAACATATGAGACACGGCACAAATCCCCAGACGTGATGCGTCTCTGGCGAAGACAATTTTTCGAAACGGGTCAAAGTGAGTCAGGAGGAGGTCTGAAGCCAGCAATGACTTGACCCGCTCGAACACAGACTGGCATTCTGGTGTGCAATTCCAGGTTTAATCCTTGCTCGGCAACTTGTTCAGCGGGGCACGCAGGCGGCGTGGTTCGGACAGAAAAGCCCTGTAACGACTAATTAGGCTACAGAATGAACGCAGCGATTGCAAGTCCGCAGGTGGTGGCATCTTTTAATAGCTCGGATATTTTCTGGATCAGGGCGACGACCGTCTGTAGCGAAATTGTAGACGAGGAATTTGATGGTTGGTTTAAAAAATGTACGCTTGTCTTCTCGGATACGAAAACCATATGACTGGATGCGTTCACACACTTCAGCGAGCAGCTCAAATAGTTCTTTTGCCGACTGATCCATTAAAATGATTTCATCCGCGTGCAGTGACCGAGGCCATCTTCAAACAAGGAGGCAAAGTACTGCTTTAGCTTTCCTGTCATGTCTTCTATCGACAACCAGACATGGACTGGATCGGTTTGGACTCTATTGCAAAGCTGATTAATTGAAATGTCAAACAGCTGTAACTTTTCCATCCAGTCAAGCGCAAGGAAGTTCAAGTTTGGTCTGTCCGACTAGTAACGGGTTCCTGTCAGTTACACACCTGTGTAAGGCAATTTTGCAGGTTATTTCTCTGACCAGCTTCATCACTCCAACAGATGCGTTGTGGGCGACCTTGTTGGAATCAACCCTCTTCGGCCTCTTTATGTGCTTCCAGGTGTTCTTGGAGATGATCGTTATATCTGAGGCGGGATCGAACTACAGCCCTGTTATTACCCTGTTGAGGAGTACAGTGATAAATTGGCGACATGGTCTAGAATCTCTGTGAAAGACGGTAATCCCCGATGATAATTCTACGTCAGGCTTCTTAAAGTTCTTCCTTCGCTAGTACTGCTTCACCTTTCGTGGCCGAGACTGATGGTAAAAGTCATCCTTGAAGCCGCGTTTATGGCACTTATCACAAACGTGACCGTTGCATGGACAGTATCGTGCGAAACGCCACTAACCACCTGATTAACAAGGTGTAGGTGGCTTGTTCGGCTCTCTGCTGAGCGGCTGGTTCGAGCCAGCCTTCCTTGCCTTTTGCACGACGTGAACAGTATCGGCAATTGTGGGGCGACTCTGCTCAATTATAGCGGTGTCGTGTTTCAAACTGAGCAACCGTTTGCATTCGACTACAAGAGACTTCAATGTCAAATCGGGATTTTGATGCAAGTTAGCGACGAGCCAAGTGCAGGTTTCCGCGTCGCGTGAAGACTGTAAAGCCATGACAAATACGTGACACTTAAACTGGTCATCCGTCGAACAGCGCAAATTGAAACGTCCACATTCACGGTTAGCCATATCTGTTAGTGTCCCATAATTGTCCATATCCGGCTTAACAATTTCTAGACATTGGTAGCGAATGCTAAACAAAGACGTTGAATTACCAAAAATGTCTTTGACTACTGTCACTACATCATTGAAACTGATGTCCTTCTGCTCGTTGGGCAAGACCTGGTACACACATCTTGAATGTTCATGGGTACCGAGCTCGCGGAGCAAAAGAGGCACTTTCCATGAATCATCTTGATGGCTGTAATCCGTCTGGAACATGTCCTCTCAGCGTTTGAACCACGCCTCAAAAGTGCATTCGGAATCAGCCTTAGGAGGAAATTCATCGATTAAATTCGTAAGAAGATCAAGTGAAACGGTCTGCGTGCCCCGCGGATCTGTTCCGTTTGACTGTACGTTAAAGCACTGCGTTAAAATTTCAATCGTTTTCATTTGTGCTTCCATCTGGGATTATTGCTGTAGAAGCAGCTTTTAAAAATATTCAGCGGAAAAGTTAGTAATATTTTCGTGCATGTCGGTCGCCAATGTTAGATCTGCACGTTTTCTCGCTATTTCAAAGTAAACGCCCAAAACCTTTTTGTAAGAATTCTAGCCCAGCCGAAGAAAACTCAGAAGTCCAACGAGCTTGACAGCGATAAACGTGTTAACAAAAACGCCGCCAAAGGTCACCAGAACATCGCCAGAACGTCGCCGAAACGTTGTACAACTAGGCCAGACGTACGCCACATACGCAGGTGGCTCAATGACCTTCGGCTTCTAGAAAACAAAGGTCAACTGGTAAAAACAGTAGCTTCCTTGGCAATCACGTAAGGGAATGGAAAGTTCCGGAATCTCTCGAATTCAAATGGATTAATTGCTAAAATAAGGTTTTTTCTTTGTTATTTTCACCTTTTCCCGGATATATAGGTAAGTCTTAAAAGACTACTTTGCACTTCGTGGGCGTGATGTAAATACTGAAGTATAAAGCTTTACGCACCATCGGTTCAGTAGGGTCTGCAAACCTAATGATTCAGGAGAGCTATATCACCCACAGAATCGAACTTTGTCGGCTGAGTAGCTGAGAATGCTTTCGCCCCGGAGGAGACTGAGTGGACAAGATCACTAATAATCAGTTCCATCACAAAGCTGACAAAAAACGGAAACATCGGAGGTTGCCTAATACAAACCTCGGTTTAATACTGTTCGAGCTAAACGTGCTCAGGTCTACCATTCAAGTTAACGGTTCCAAATAGGTTAGTTGGTTGATGAACATTTACTTTCACTTTGATAATTCTAACGAGTGATGAGGCTTAATTTTCCTTCAACTATAAGCATGCGGAACAAATGTGTCGAGCGACCACTGCCAAGATACCCGTAAGGAGAGGTGTCAGATTCCTTGCACGGAGAGAATACGCTTTTCCCCAGCACCAGCAAGCGCATACCAGGGTCTGTCATGAATGTGGCGTCTCCTTTTACGTCATACGCATCAAAAATATGTTTATATTTGCCGGCAACATGACCGTTGGGTAAGTTCTTTTTTACATTATCGTATCTGATATCCAATCAGATGATGTTGATAACTTATAATCTTGCAACCTATCCGTGAAGAAGCAAACTATCACCCTTCCACTTTTCACACCCAAATAACCTGAGCGAAGTTCCAGTACTTTGAAATTTTTCTGACCGTTTACTCCAACGCACTCTTTAACTTCCGTCGATGCCTTCGAACATGTTGTTAAGTGGCTATGCAATGAAGTTTGATCTGGACGACCTACCAGTGTTGCAGACCAGAGCCCAACACATTTGAAAAAGTGTGCAGAATTACTACGTTCCCATGTTTTACAATGGCGTGTCGGAGCCAAGATCTCGTACTCGGAAGTATCTCCGATCGAAATCACTGTTTATGATTCAACCTCTAGCTCCTTACTGCCATGGGGCTTCGTACCTCTAGCGACGACATTACGGTAGACTTTTGAATAGTAACGGGATAGATTGCCGCTGAGTAAACTTATAGTAGATATTCAGAAGAAAAGTATCTTGTTCGCGGAAAACAATTCAGTCCAATGCTAGAAAAAGCTTTATACACCCAGATAGGTGAATAGTCAGTTGTTGCACATACACATACACACACACACATCTTCAGCAAGGTAATAGGAGTAAAACGTAAAACAGTGGTTACATAAGTAACTTACTAAGTGGCATCGACAGCAACCTGTTTACAATGAGAACTTGCTTATGAGCTCCAGAACCACTGAGGTATTGTTGCAAAAATACGTGCCAAATATGAAATTACGGGCGGTGAGTCAAACTTTGTACAAGCATTAATGGATCTATGCTTTTGTCTGCTTGAGGAAGCTTCTGCACAGTCAGACAGAATGCACCATGAACAGGGTAACTTGCATCTGTGATTATTTTTGTGGCAAGCCATTTGCATGTCAATGAAGATCGGCTTTGGAATACGAGTACATCGAGTCGGTTGCGTCAGTGACCTAGTAAGTCACACCATAGCCGTTCACTGTGAGTGCATTCAAGTATGCATGAAGTTTCTACCATATGGCCTCTGCTATCTCTGAGTGTGGGCTGGCTTGCCGAACAACCTCTTCTCGGTGTCACTTGGGTGGTTTGGGATTTTCCCGTTCCAGCAAATGGTTCGGCGGCAGTGTTCCAGCATTCTCCCTATAAAAAGCCACATATATCCGTTTAACAACACTGTGACGTGGCGGACATGACTCGCTACTAAATAAAGTCACTGCTCCTTGCTTCAACCTGGCGAAGCATTGTATTCCAGCAACGTTATGCTGTAATTCTGGGGAGCATTGGGCCTCTGTTTGACAAAGGAACAAACGGATGGCGTATGAACTGAGCAATCAGTCGCCGGCCCCCAATGGGTGCGATTCCATGAATTCGCTCCGCTGCCTTGTGGGCAGTCTGTTCAGCCAAAGGCTCGGGGTGGTGTCCACTAAGTCAACACCCTACTTCAACTTGGGCAACCGGTTAGCATCTTGCTTTCTGAGGAAACCATGGACGTTGATGTGTTGTGTTGTGTTTTCTTTGACTATTCCTGTACCTTCTTTTGAATCCCATGGTTTCTGATGGCTTTATGTCTATTCGCAGACCTGTGCAAATATATAAATCGCTGAGTGTGTGTGTGTGTGTCAAGTGGGTTGCCCACTTTTCCCTTTGTATCATTGTTTGATGCAGGTAACTGCTATAGTGTTTGCTAGAAGTATACTTCCTAAAGGTGGTTGAGGCGGGGGTGGGAACAGTTGAAGCCAGATTCATCCAAAGGGACCAGAACATGCGGACACATATACACAATTTCACATACCACAGAGTATGATTAATCTGTCTGTCATAGAACTCCTAGCACAAAAATGACTTACGAGTTAACTGAAAGGCACACTGGTATATGGCAATGCTGATTCCAAGTGTCCACACAGGCCTCGAGAGAGCAGCATATAATGCGGCTGCAGAGTTGCGCATTGACGGTGGATCCCCAGCGAAGTAATTGACCAATCCGAATAGAGTGCTCAAGTTGAACACAGCAGCAATCAGACTTGCGGACAGAGAAACCAAGCAACGTTTCAAGATGGACCAGTTCTGTAGGGGGCAAAAAGTGTCGAAGCAAGCCACCTTTCGGTATGGCAGTGGTACTGGCCTTTCAGCTCACGTATTATAGCACATGAGCTTTGGAATGTAGTGGTTGCAAGAATCGATAAGATAGCACTAATAATCATCTTTACTCTCAACAACACTGAAGCAAACCACTACAGGCGTGATCATGTCAGCCCTATCTCTGTACGTTCATAAAATCCTTGGCAATGGAATAATGGAACATTAGTTTAATACAGGTTAGGATCCGGAAGTTTAACAGGTTCCGCAGAATGGTCATGATGATAATTCAACATATAGAAAAATTGTCATCAAAGGTACCTTCACGCCGTCAGTCTCACTGTGATATACGTGGTAAAAACTGTAAATCCACCTGAGTTATTATAATCGCTGTCGAAAACTCCAACTGGATCCCCTTTGGTTGAGACGCTTAAAGAACAACCGCGTTCCCTTCTACAACATTATAAACCAACGAATTTACGCAGACCGCACTGCACTTGAACTATGGAAGACTGCATTCTAGCCCACACGTAATGGCGGCTGGTTGATACGCACAAAGCTTTCAAGTCATGAAACTCGGTCGAATTTCTTCTTAGTGAGATACACTGATCTGTGGAACAAACTACCCCTACAGATACCCATGTGTGCTAGCGGTCATGTTTCGAAATTTCCTTCAGACGTCTTTCAGTATACCAAGTGCACAATTTGTCCACCCGCGGTAGTCCCAGTGAGACACATTCAGTCGCATATCCGTCAATCACAAATTTCTGCGAGCTTTACGATGTTTTAAGAATTGATTCCCGCAAACGTGGTCCGTTACTTTTGTCCAGGAAAAAGACACATTCGGCATATATACAAAGGTACGTGGAAAAGTTTTCTGAGTGACCAGAATTCATCCAAAATGTCTTACTGGGACATCAGTCACTCATGGTGTCTAAACGGTTACTATATCGTATACCAATTGGTCACTTGTGCTAAGCAGGTGTTCCGCCCTTAGCATCATCGGTCATTCCAGTTAGTGACATCAGGAATGGCGACTAACCCTTTTCTAATCAGCCGTATGTAGACAGAGAGACGGCATACCCCAAGGGAACCCCAAATTGTGTTCAGGGTCATCGTAGTAGTCTTCGTGGTAAAGTGACGCATTCGAATTTCGCACCACAGTAGGTCATGCGGCCTGTGAGAATAGAAAGTAGGATTCCTATATTTTATGGACACACGTTGAGGTAAGTCCACTACGTCCAATCCAACCTTGAATTAGCGTATCCTACATTACGTCGAAAATTGGTTAACTCCATTCGAAACGCTGTTTGCTCCGCGAACTGATGTGTTTACGCTCACTTCTGTCGTTTTTTCTCATTATTGCTCTCGCAGACTCAGTCCACTCTGTTTAAGCAGGGGCACCTAACTCAAACTCTAGTCAACTGCGCACACATAGACAACGGATTTCCACATCTCCAATAATTTCACATCCACCTTTACTAAAGGCTAATAATCAAGTTCCATTGATTTTTTGAACCAACTCGTTATATAACCTCTATCGTTGCCATGGATGCTGTGGAAAACTCTTGCCACAATCGTATAATCACAGGGCCTAGAAAGATAAGATGTGCTTAATAATATTTTTTGAAGTGTATTATTTGTTAATAAATTTGTTAAGTAAAGTTGCTGTCACAGATAGGATAGACTAACCTTCACATTGATTGGTCTCTCAAGCATCAGCCAGGCTGTGATCATCCCCAAAGCGTAGCTTCCCCATCTTGTGTACGGCACACCATATAAATGGCTGAAAGCCACCCTGTGGATTGCAAAGTGTGTATTTGTATACTTTTTAGGTATCAGATAGCGGATTCATTTTGTCGCACTCATCATCATCATCAACTACAGTAACACGTCAGCAATTGCAACTGATGCTTCGCTGCCATACAACCATGAGGACCTATGGAATAAAGGATAAGAAGAGGGAGAGAAGGGGGACTTACATGAAAATCTTAATGCTCTAAGCAAACATTCAGGGTCAAGGTGCCTACACCTTGTGTAGACAACAAACCGTCACAAACAGCTGGCTATCGTGTAAAGATGAGGCGGCATCGGCGAGACAGCTTCCTTGCGACTTTCACTGCCACGAGTCATAATCAGCCATTGCCCCGCAGATAACTCAGCACCAAACATACTTTAAACAGGCAATCCGACTAGGAGACGGCAGCAGACGCGCCACTGGTGTCGGTTGCGAGCCATGTCCTGTAAAGTCTCGAGCTAAGCACAAGGCGAGTCACTTGGACTCCGGCCCGGAAGGCGAGACGGACCAACGGCATCCAGTTTGGTCGTCAGTGTCTTCATTTCCCGCTGCCAAATCAACTTCTGTCCACCTCGAGCCTTGCGCCATCCTACACCTGGCAGACCAAACAAGACCCTCCTAGGTAAGCGGTTACCGGGCATGAGTAGCACGTGCTCGAGCCAACGTAACTTATTCAGTGCTATCTGTTGTTCTAGGGAGCTAGCATGATTATCACCATCAGTTTGTTTTTGAAAATGCAACTAATCCCTCATGTTTATTACAAAATTGTTTAACAATAAATAACTCCTGTTGTGCGGTGTGCTAATGTTAAAAGGTTTTGTTAGTGAGCGTTTTATTCCATATTGTTTCCATACCACTTGCCTGTCACGTTTGTCTACTGAAAGTGTGACCGTTATGTTGTCGATAGAGTTAGGGAGGCACGCTCGTAATAATGACCTAGCGGTGTCATAGGTACGAGAAAAATCTTCTAATTTTGCTTCCCTGTTACGAGCGGGGCTAATATTGACAAGGTGATCACAATCAATATAACGTCGCCTCAGATACTAAAGTCAGGACACTATTTTTAGTTTCTAGGAGAGATGGAATAGTACCGTGCTCTTAAGAACGCTACAGACAGAGTAATTTTACCGTGGAATGAAATATGAACAAGCTGCCACATTTTTAGCTAAGGTATGAGCGTTTCCCCCGACTTCGCATCAGTGATGGTTCTGTCGAAGTGTGCAGACCGTGTTGCATTTGGCTGTAATTACAATCCGAGTACCTCTAAGGCCCATTCGATATGGCTCATGATTAGTTTAATCCAAGTGTGTGGATGAACCTGATGGTGGTTCCTTTCAACGCACACCTTGATTCTGAGTGGGTGTGAGCATCGGGTGTCACGTAGTAATCACAGCGGCAAACGCGTCCGGAAATCGCGACTTTTCGCAGTCAATTGCATCCATATTGTTCGCAAAAATGTTGTTCCTTCCTAGATCCATCAAGCTAGCCTTTACTGTCATCAAATTGCACCCATGAGTGAGAAAACCCCTAAAAGCGTTCTATTCATTTAGTGACCGAACCCAACTCAGCTAACGGTACATCAGACGAGTGCGCGGCATTGGATACTAATGACTAATTTGGGATTTTGTCCTTCAATGAACAGAGGCAATGGTGCCCGTTGGCTGCAAACGGATGGAAACAAGGACAATCTTGATAGGTCCATGGAGGAAACCAAGTTTTTTTTATGTACTTCGGTGTTGCCCCTCCAAGAACCGACTCCCCGTGACCGGTTTCGTAGTCTTCTAGACTCATCGGATGGAGATAGCCTGAGCTAAGGTGGAGCTCGGGGCCTAGTCGTTTGCGGCTGACGACTTGGTCACTATACCACTAAGATTCTTGAGTACACCGGTAAGAAATTCAAAGTTGAATTTAGAGTACTCTACCACACAGCTGGTATTGCGAATCCAAAAGTTGAGCATAGGTTTTTATAGAGGAACATGGAAATGTTACGGATGCAACCAGCTGAAAAAAGCTTGGGAACACTTGCTTATGTGCTATTACAAATCCGCTGGGTTAAGGTTATGTCGAGAACCGGATAAGGAAGTCAGGTGCATTAAGATGCATATTGAAATGGCTTCGTTTTCCGAATACAATGAATTTCGGTCGTTTCGTTTATTTGATGAGACGGAAATTGACAAATCTGACTACTGCGTGAATAGAATGGAGGGGATAGAACTCCCTAATGCGTGGCGAGCGGTCTTAAGCCGGCCAGTCTGACGAGCATCAGTGCGTGGACCAGATTGGAAAGTGCAAACCGACTCCCATTTTTAACACTATGGGCTTATCCGTCAATGTCATAACGCGCAAAGGAACATCTGGACTATTCCCACTGTGAATGAACTATCTGAGGTGATATCACGAACGGTTGCTGTAATGACATCAAGTCTCGGGTAACGCGGTTACCGTCCCTGTTCGCTATAAAATCCCACCCCAATTGCACTGATTCACCTGGTCTGACGAAGCTCTTGTGTCAAAGGCGAAATGTTACCAAACTACTATACCAACCGATTGTTTCCAAACCTCTCTGAACTCATGCGTACTCGATCGGTTCCAAGTATCTTACAAGAATTCGGTGCTAATCTGTTTAAAAAAGGTGCTTCTTTCGAAATAACCATACATTCCATTGTAATGCAGCAGCACACTTATGCGCTTCGATATGGTATCAACTTTGGGAAAACGAATTGGCGTTGTCCGCACATCATAACCCAGAGTATAAAATACTAGTCTATGGTGGCGGAAAATGCCAAAGACACAAAACGTGACCTGAACTGGCTTGAAATGTCGTGAGTTTATCAGCAATACAAGTATAGCCCGAGTTTTGTTACAGCATTCAAGTTTCTATTTAAAGAGTGAAATGACAAAAAGCAGTTATTTACAGTAAGCCATAGAAACCTTGGGACTATATAACTCAAAGCAACAACACACATACCAACCTAATGGGTGTCTTTGCGATGACCTTGATGAGTCCGTTGTTGTTCGAACTAACATGTTGGCATCGCTTGTTTTGAAAGCGCGCTATTTTCCCTCTAACCATCCTACGGAAACAACTTGTTGCCAATGTTACATTTGCTCAGAGCCACCGCTTTCTTTTGATATATGGTTGAAAAACAATGTAGCCTCGTAGCATTAAACACGTGCCTCCAAGCACATTGCAAACCGTTTTCACAACATGATCGACAACGTTCGTGAGGTCCCAGCGACCATGTAGAAATAACACTTAACTATATTAACCATAGTATCCATCTGAACATTCGGGATTAACCCATACATTCAGAAAAAGTCGTCGATGCATCTGCTTAGGAGTTCACGAACTGCAGTCATCTCGACCACGTTTGCATAGACTTCGTTGAAAGACTCAGTGACCTGGTCAACCAAGCATCAGAAACGAAGCCACTTCGTGCCTCAAAAGTGGTGTCAAGTATCAAAAAGGGGAGTGGAAAATTTATGGCAATAGAGGATGCAGCATGGTGAGCCAACAATGCTAAGCCAGACCCAGAGAATTGGGGCAAATTCTTGACCAAGCACAACCATTTTGCTACACTTGTCCGTCAGGACAAAGTGACTTGTCAAAAGCGCGTAGGCAAGTGCGAGTATGGTGGGCCCAAGTTAGCCATTAGAACGTTTGTTGACAAGGGTACCATGTCATGTGTGGATATCGAGACAGTTGGGGGCGTGACGGGGACCCAGGCATCATGCTTAGCTTGCCGCTGATTTGACAATGTACTAGCTTTGTCATCTGGACGAACTGGAGGAAGAGTGGGATCAAGGTGGATATATCTGATATGGAATGGGTGAGAGTCCATTCCCGCCGCCGCTAAAAAATGCTTGTTGAAAGAAGCTGCTTAAGAGGTTGAAGGAACATGGAAAAGAGTGGGTGGTAACATAGTCCTACTGGTCGATGTCCTTCCACTATCTGCACTTCCAGTGACTGTTGTGGAGTGTAGGATGATAATTAGCTGCAGCTACAAGACATTTGTTATTGTTCTTACCCAACATGGAGTGTTGTTTGCCCTGGTGGTTGTAGGAGGTTGATCGATAGGGAATTTTGGGTGCCACCGAGTATTTAGTATCCATACGCTTTTTAAAGATACAGGTCCCTGAGTTGGAGAAGTCGTCATTGGTCGACCGTAGGCTATGAATTACATCAGGTTGTCTATCCTTGGACGTATCTTGTTGGTTTGGACCGGGTTGCGATATATTCAAGTTGTCATTACTCCGCTGTTCCAACCACTTAGACTTTCCTTTAATCCTTGTGCATAAGGAGTTCGATATAATGGGACTGTTGTTTTCAGGAATAGGAGAACCCGCTTTATTCGTTCATTGTGTAGTGGGTGTTTCAGTTGAGCAAGGAAGGACGGCTTTGGAGCTAGTTGACAACGTTGTTAGATTATCGATGTCTAAATCAATGCATCAAGTATCCACATTGGATGCACGCATCTTTTGGATGTTTGGCTGAGATTTCTTGAAGAGCCTAATTATTTTGTCCGGTGTTCGCAGCACAGCGCCAAATTCGGAGCTTTGTAGGGGTATCCTATCTGGTTTACTCAAAATGCCGTTAAATTGGGTGCACTGGCCTATAAAGGGTCCACAATGGAGGAATCGCTGCGCGACTTCCTCGCTCAAAAATTTGCAAATCATTGGACAACAATGTTTCCGCTTCACCTATTTTTAACCGTCGGCATTTGCAGTCAAGATTAGAAATGTTACAAGCTTTCAGTATCGTTAGTTTGACTTTACCCGGACTCAGCTTATCCGGAACATTAAAACCAATCACTTTTTGCTCTACATATTCGTTCGTGCACTTAAGAGGCAACAGAGGCAATTAACTGCCTTACTTTTCCCAATGGGTTATTGATGTAGTCAAGCGTAATCAGGTGACATTTGAGGGGTTCAAATAGTGTCAGCGTTTTTCTCATCTCATTACGTTGTGATTCTAAAGAAAGCAATTTATCCTTTAGTTT